GCGTGGGCTACTGCGCATGTGGGCACCCCACAAGTTTGTGAGTGGCACGTCCTTGAAGTTTGGTCATTCAATTGGCCTTTCCTCCATCTTCCTCTTCCTTTTGACCTTTGATGGTTGATGCAACACCCTTCAAGATGGACAAAATTTGTTGGTGGTTCCAATAAAGTCTTTTTATTTTTTAGGATCTTTCTACCAGCTCTTCTTTCATGTTGGTGTAGGTTAAGTCTTGGGTCCATTATGATCACATCAATTAGCTTCAAAATTACATCATTGATATGCGTTCAAATACTATATTTGTTGAACTAATAAATATCAGTGATCTTACACTAAAAATGATGATGACAGTTAAAGATAAAGTTTACCTATTAGTTTATCGGTTGCTCACATTGGCATTAGTCTTAGTAGTTGCAATATTTACTCTGGAGAGAATGTTTTATGCTATGAGTATTGTTCAGACTTGATTGCGTAATTGGATAGGAGACTAGTGGATGAATGATAGTCTTATCACATGTATTGAGAAATATTTATTTGATAAAATGGACAATGAAGTTATTATGTAGCAGTTTCATAATATGAAAACTCATAGAGGACAATTGTGATGTATTAAATTATAGTTCGTTTCATTTATGACTTCTTTAGAATTACTTACTTGTTAAATTAGTATAAAGCCCCTCCTGAACAGATTTCAGAAATATGGAAAAAGCTCGAAAGCCTTGAATTTGAAATTTCTCACGCTTTACAGTGATAGCCTTGAAGGAAAATTGCTAGTACGATTGACTTCCACTTCTCCAGAGTCTCATTATCAATTTCCTTAACATGAGTTTAGTTTTTAAAATTGAAAGTGGTAGAGATGCAATTTTTCCACTTATAGAAGTTTTTAATGATTTAATTTTTCTAGTAGTTAAAGTTTAAAATTAAAAATTTAGGGATGAAATTCAATCCACCTTTTTTTTAATTCTTCTATCCCTCATATTAATATTTTATCTTCTCTCCACTATTCCATCTTTCTCCAATTAATCTCTCTCTTTTTTCGCTTAATCTTCTCTCTCTCTAATTAATCTTTCTCTTTTCCATATTCTCTCTTTTTTTTCTCTTCATTTTTTTTAGTTTTTAGGACTAAATTTGTACAAAAAAAAAAAAGGAGTCATAAGAAAAGAAAATCCCCCATCAATATAGAAGTAGAAGATATTGCAAAATCTCACGTGCCTCTCAAGCAAACGAAACAGTACCTAACGGGCGACGCGAGAATTGTATTCTCCTGATCCTCATTTCTCAATCTGCAGTTCAAATCTGGTTTGCTTTTCTGGAGATTACATGCATGTTGGTCCAAGAATTACACCGAACTTCTCTGAAAGTTATGTTTTAGTCTCTACATTCAGAAATTAGGAGACGAGCTCACAGTTTTCCTCGAGTTTCATCTGTTAGTGGAATTAGGGTTCTTCTATCTACATGCAGTTCATACGGTAGAGGTATGTATGTGGTTGTTCTCGTTTTTTTCTTTTCTTGTTTGGTAATGTGGGTTTGCGGGAATATATTAGGGTTTACGGTATGTCATTAGCGAGGTCTTCTTGGTAATGTCAGTCTAATTTAGCAACTGGTACTTCGAATTGAGTTCACTTTGCGTTGCATGCTCCATTTGGAGCATTTGCATAAGCTTTTATTTTGCCATGCGCTTCAACTTGGTTGCTTTAGATAAGCCCATGATCATGGTCGCATAATACTCTGTTTTGGTATATTTTTTTTGGGATAAAATTGTTGTGGTTATGCAATCTGGTTCAAATAAATGATGCTGTTAATTCGTGTGTGGGATTTAGTATACCACTTCCAACTTTATTTAGGACGAGCGTTGTAGATTGATATTATTTATTTTATTATTATTTTTGTGTGCTTAGGCCTCAAAATGATAGGCTGTTTAATGACAAATATTGTAAAAGCTTTATGTACTGTGTTACAGAAAAGCAGACATTTTAACTAATTGGATATGGCGTTTAATTCCATATGTTTGTAGTTAGAGCTTTTACATTACTCTCTTCTAATGGAAATGTTTTTGTTCAATAAGCAGTAGTTGGAAGTATGGTAAAGGATACTCGATCTAGTGTCAGAGCAAAGAATGAGGAAAACAACAATCCAAAAGGGAAACAAAATGGTGACAAGGCTACGACAAGGGCGGGTTCTTCTACGCCAGATACATCTGCTTTAAGAAGGTCTGCAAGAGAGACATCATGGAAAAAGAAGATTGTTTCAACCCCTTCCAGTTCTAGAAAATCTGAGCGACTTGAGAAGCAACCACCCAGCACTCCTTGTGATAAAAAGAAACGTGGTACCATTGAAGATCAAGACAGGCTTAATTTACTTAGGAGATCTCAGAGGGGTAAAAATCAGTCTTCATCTACCTCTTCAGGATCGGGATCTAAGAAATCAGATAAAAGCTCCGGTTCACCAAATATTAAGCGAAAAAAAGAAAAGAAGGAGAAAAGTATTAAACAGTTGACTCTTGGAACTGGAGAGGTTGGTAACTCTGGAAAACAAGATGAGGTTTCCGAACATGCCAAAAGTAAAAGAATGGATGCTCGTGCTTACAGGGCATTGTATAGGGAAAAGCTTAAGAAGGCTAATTCATCTGGTATCTTAATTGTATTCTCTCCTTTTATGCATCCTTTCCTCCATGGAAATTCCCATTCGCACTTGGTCCATATTATTATTTTTTAGAGTGACTTCAGTTCACCCACTATCAATCAGTTGATTTCCTTTTATATGTATGCAAATATAATCACTAAGTAAATGGATATAATCATTAAGTAAATGGCTAGAATCCAGTTCTCATCACTGTATTATTATTATTTTTATCTTAATTACTTAGTGCTATTTCAACTAATTGATGATCATGTCTTCCTATTTTTTCTTCTCCTTGTATTGTAGGCTGTCAAGAGCGGCGGAAGATGCCAAAGAGCGACACTCATGGTGATAGCAATGGTTGCAAGGAAAACTTGAATGGTAGCAATAAGTTCAGTGACAAGAGTAAAGAATTGAGTGTCAAATGTCTAGAGGAATCCTCAACTAGAGCTTTGGAGGACTTTGATGAGACTAGAACTAAAATTGCTAAGGAAGTAGTGGAAAATGATGTTGGATTGGATTTCTTTCCAGCAAGCCAGAAGTCCTCCAAGGAAGAAGAGCTGACTAGACTATCAAATGGAGATGGAGGTAGTGTAGATGCAGTTATCTATTCAAGTGGAAAATTGAAAACATCAGAGAGAACCAATCCCAATTCTATACTGGGAGCAATGCCGGCTGATGACCATATTGACTCAGATGGGGATTGTAAATTAATTTCTTTGAAAAGAAAAAGAAGTGTGGACTTGGATTCTAATGGATCGGCAAGGAATGAAAGTGAAAATAGCTGCCCTTCACCTGCTGGAGCCATCGAATCATCATCATCTCCATGTAGACAGAGCGATAAAGTTGAGACATGTGACAAATGTTTGGAGAGACAAAGGTATTAGTCTTGACTATGTTATTTTTGGATGTCAAGTATTTGTTGTAATTTAAAGAACCATTGCTTACTAATTGAACATGGAGTCCACATATACCACAGAATGTTTTTTTGCCTTTACTCATTAATAATTATATTAAACAATAGGAGATACCAATATGTCATTGAATTGTGAATGGTAAGGATCATGCATGAAGTAGAATTCAGCACTTGTAGTTAATTTAGTGTTGTTGTCAAAATCATACTGATAGGGAATGCAGTATTTTTGTAATTAAAAAAATAGATGGCATAGATAACATACATTATGACTGTGAACCTTTGGATGCCACACTTGCTATAAGTGGAGGCAGAATGAAAGGTGTATATAATTTGAATCATGTTGTTTGTTGGACCTGTTCACTTAATTGGGTACATTTGGATTCATCACACAGTGTAAAACTTGTCTATACCACCATATCCACACAAAACACACACAAAAAACTTGTAAATAATACGTTATTTAGTATAATAAGGCCTTGTTAAGGCTATGCCCATATTGGTTAATGCACCTAGGGTGACAAAACGAGATTGTTGTTGAGATAATGATGCTTTACATAAAAAAGCAAAAAAAAAAAAAAAAATGATAATCTACATGTACAGAAGTATAAAAACTTATCTATAACAATAGTTGTTGAATTATTATGTATGCAAATATATTTGGATAATTTTCTTTGGATTTGTTTGCTCCCAAATCCCTTGTCAGTGTTTGATTAATCAAAGAAAATGGTAGAGGATTCTTTTATTTTGCTCAAATAATGAGGAGAAGCTCGATAGTTTAATGAAGTTGTAGGGGCCATTCAAAGCGTAGGGGTCGAGGGTAAATATGTTTAAATTTGTTCTCACTAGTATAAACCAAAATCTAGAAACAGTTTCTATCCAAGATCTTGTTCTTTTGGACAAGAAACAACTTTCCATTGATATATGAAAAGTTCAGGATACAAACCTCAAGTGGGTGAAAGCAACTGAGAAAGGACAAAAATAACAAAGGACAAGCTCAACAAGGAGCAATACAAACACAAACACAGAGAAAAGATAAAGAACATTAAAACCCAAAAACCACCATTGAAGAATTATGAGAATGGCAGCTTCAAAGCTTGAAGAACCGTAAAAGGTTCCTATTCTAGAAACACAGTCTTCTTTAGAAACTCTTGGTGGATACTCCATGATGAAACAGGCAAAAATGAGAAAAAGAAACTCTGGAAGAATCTTGGAAAAACCAATGAAGAAGCTTGACTACAACAAACTGAAGTATAAATAGCCATGAGAGAGAAGGCCGACTCCCCAAGAACCCAAAAAAAAGGCTTCCTTTAAAAGAGATGATAACCTCATAGTAAGATAGGACCTCGAACTATGAAGAGACGTTTGGAGAACCAAGGCATAAATACAACCATAATAATGTGATGGGACCCCTTCAAACTTTAAGAAGGGAAGAAAAGTGCCTCAGAATGGAGGTCGAAACCCTTCATCTCCGCTTTCCTTAATAATAACGTTTAGAAACAATAAGTGCTAACATCAGAAAAGAAATTGAGAAAAATATGCGAAATTTCTTTTGGGAAGGCAATTCTGAAGCCCCTTTGAAACAATTGGTAAATTGGAACATCACATCTCAGCCACTGTCAAAGAAGAATGATGCCTTAATGGCTAAATGGGGCTGGCGGTTTGGTGTGGAATTTTCTGCTCTTTGGAGAAAAGTAATAGTCAGCATATATGGACCAGATCCTCTTGATTGGCGTACTTTAGAAAGAAGAAATGGGTGTGCTAGATGTACTTGGATTAATATAGCCAATCAATGGAAAAAAGTGGATCGGTTTTGTCATTTCAAAGTTGGCAATGGTACAAGAACTCATTTTTGGTCACATTCTTGGGCTGGTGGAATTCCCCTTAAGGATCGGTTTTCTCTCATTCACAGAATCTCCTCTAACCCAGCAGGTGTTGTGGCTAGTTTTTGGGATTACAATACTAGTTCATGGAAGATTGAAGCAAGACGATTTTTGAAGGAGGCCGAATTGGCACAATTCTCAGAGCTGAACTTCTTTATTTCCAGCAGCGATTACCAAAGATTTTGGTCGCTCGAACCTTCAGGTGTTTTTCCGTAAGCTCTTTGACCTCATCAAAATGGCCGGATTGTTCTATCTCAAAAAGGATTTTTTCAGCTCTTTGGAAGTCGAATTGTCCAAAGAAAATCAGTGTGTTAGCATGGATTTTGATTAATGGTAAGGTCAATATTGCCAACATTCTCCAGAAGAAGCTAGCTGATTTTGCTTTGCAACCTTCTCGGTGTGTCTTATGCATGAACAGTGGAGAAAATCAGGAGCACCTTTTCTTTTGGGGTCCTTTTGCTTTAACTTGCTGGTGGCTTACTTATAGGAGATTCTTTTTTGTGAAAATGTACAAATTACTACAGCATCTTGGTGCCTTACTTATAGGAGATTCTTTTGTAATTTTTTTTGAACAAGAAACGAACTTCTCATTAAGATAATGAAAAAGAACAAAATTGTTCAAAGATACAAACTCTCGAAAGAGTGAGGGTACAAAGAAAAAACAAAATAATACAGATAAAGAAACTTATAAAGAAGCAACAAAAACACTCCAATTCGAACAAATCAGACTAGGAGAATAAGGATTAAATAAGGGAGATAGAGAACTCCATTGCGAAGCCTTATATTTGACGAGATCAAAACGAGCTGAAGGAGATTGCCTCTTATCTTCAAAAATCCTCAAATTCCTTTCAAACCACAGCTCATGTACCAGGGTCTTTACTCCGTTAATCCAAAGAATAGAAGCTTTGGGATTCAAAACAGGCCCCATAAGTAACCGACACAGATTATCCGCCGCCTCATTACCAAAAACCCATGCCACATTGAATTCTTCCAGCAGAGAATTCCAACACTGTCTTGCGTAGGGACAAAAGAAGAAAATGTGAATCATACTTTCTTGATTAGCCAAACAAAAGGAGCAGACTGAAGGTAGTAGACTAGTATTTGGAAGCTTCTTTTGAAGAACATCAATTGTATTAACCTTCACATAAAGAAGAATCCATGTAAAGAAGCTCACTTTTTTTGGACTCTTGGATTTCCAAATAGCCTTGAATAAGGCTTTTGGCATAGAGATATCACTGCCCAGCTTACAAATTGAACCAACAGTGAATAACCCCGAACTGCCCAATGACCATTTTCTGCTATCCGGAATTTTGCTAGGGTGAAAAGAATGAAGCAAGGACAATAATGAGATAAATTCTTCTATCTCATCATCTTTAATAGCCTCCGCTTCATAATTTTCCAAGACAAAGTATGAGAATCCCAAAAATCAGCCACTGTCCCTGAAGGCAAAAGTGAGAGCCTAAAATTCTTTGGGAATTTATCCCTAAGAAGCTGATCCTCCGCCCATTTATGCTCCCAAAACAGAATTCGCTCACCAGTACCAAGTTTGAAAGTCGAAAACTTGTTCCAACGCAACCAATGCCGAGAGATGTTGATCCAAGGTCTTCTAAGGCAACCATTCTTCATAATACCCGAGGACCAACCCAACTCAGATTCGCCGTATAAGCTTACAATCACTTTACGCCATAATGCGACTGGTTCGCTCCCGAATCGCCAGCCCCATTTGGCCAAAAGTGCAGAATTCTTCTTAGAAAGACCGCCAACTCCCAGACCACCCTCCTCCAATAGCAAAGAAGAGATCTTCCAATTTACCAGATGATTTAAAGAGCCAGAAGAACCACTATTCCAGAGGAAGGATCTTATCTTCCTTTCAACTTGTTTGCAAACTCCTGAAGGAATTTGAAACAAAGAAAAGTAATAAAGAGGGAGATTATATAAGACCGACTTACAAAGTGTTAGGCGACCTCCTCTAGATAATTGAAACGGCCTCCATCTATCCAACTTCTTCTCAATTTTTTCTAAGATGGGACTCCAAAATACTGCTGAATTCGGATTACCCCCAAGAGGTAGACCTAAATACTGAAAAGGGAGGGAAGCAACCTGGAAATTCAAGGATTCAGCTACTTGAAGAACTTTTCCAGATTGTATATTAATACCACATATAGCAGATTTCTCCCAATTAACCGAAAATCCCGACATTTGCTCGTAAGTTTTAATAGCCTTGATAAGGTTATCCAACATACCATCAATGTCCTTACAAAAAAGAAGAGTATCGTCAGCAAATTGTAAGTGAGATATGTGGAGCTTATCTCTTCCGATCAAGAAACCTTCATAAAACCCTCCCACATTGATGCTGTCCAAAATACTGCTGAAGACATCCCCAACAAGAAGGAAGAGAAAAGGCAACAAAGGGTCACCTTGTCTTAAACCTCTTGAAGCCAAAATACGACCCTTAGGTCTTCCATTAATAAAGATGGAGAACTTGGTGTCTCTAACGCACCCATGGATCCATCTATGCCATTCTTCCCAAACTGTTTTTGTGAAAGAACGTCCTCAAGGAAGGCCCAATCAACCTTGTCGAATGCCTTTTCAAGATCAAGTTTAAGAATCCAGCCACTTTTCTTTCGGGCTTTATAATCCTCTACTGCTTCATTGGCGATCAAGATCGGGTCAAGAATATTCCTTCCTTCAATAAAAGCACTTTGAGTAATGGATACTGTTGAGGGCATAACCTTCTTAAGGCGTTCTGCTAAAACCTTGACCATTATCTTATAAATTGAGGAGCAAAGACTTATAGGCCTAAAATCACGAATTTTCAATGCTGCTGTCTTTTTAGGAATGAGGCAAATAAAGTTCTCCTTGAGGCAAGCATTAATATGGCCATTCCTATGAAACTCCATAAAGAGTCGAAGGAAATCTTCCTTCAGATGCTGCCAAAAACAGACAAAAAACTCTGATGTAAATCCATCGGGGCCTGGGGCCTGGTGCCTTGTTTTTGCCAAGATCATTCAAAGCAAGTCTTATTTCAGATTCCTCGAAGTTCCTTTGAAGCAGCAGACGATCCGAGGAAGAAATGGGCCGCCAGTTGATCCCTCTAGGAGAAAATCTGATGCCATTGTCAACATGATATAACTTTTCGAAAAAAGCAAAGATTTCCTCTTCAATCTCCTTTTAATTAACCAGCATCTGACCATTCTCATTGCACATTTCAGAAATTACTGACCTTCTCTTTCTAACTGCCAGAAATTTGTGAAAAAAGGAGGAATTTTCATCTCTCTCCTTCAGCCACTGAATCTTACTTTTTTGAAACATGTTCCTTTCATTCTCCACATAAATATTAAGCAGACTCACTTGAAGGTTACTTCTGTTCTTGACTTCTTCACTAGACAAACCACTTACTTCCTCTTTAGCATCCAAGGAGGAAATTTGAAGAAGAATACTGGATTCCGCTTCCTTCTTTTTCCTCTCATTCTGTGTATGCCAATTTCGGAGAGATGATTTCAGATTTCTCAATTTGGAGTTCAAAGAAAACCCAGCCCAACCATAAGAGTGGTCATTGGCAAGCGTAGTCTCAATAATACTAACACAATCTTTATTAAAAAGCCATGAATTGAAGAATCTGAAAGGGCTGGGTCCCCAGTGAAAAAGGAGATTCTTGTGTAATTATAGCCTAGCTTCTCTTTCTTGGGATTGCCAAGCTGTAATGTGGTAGTTTTCTTTTGGAGAGGGCCTCCTCGGCCCTCGGCCCTCGGCCGTAGGTTGTTTCCCTTCTTTTGGCGGCTCTAATATATATCTCCTGTTTCTTATAAAAAAAAAAAACTTGCTGGTGGCTATTATTTCAACAATTTTCCATGGTTTGGGTGTTCGATAGCAATGTTCCTTCGACCATTTGCAGCTGTTGGGAGGTCCTTCATTTTCTTCAAAAGTTTGGCTTTTGTGGGTAAATTCCATTAAAGCTATACTTTCTGAGATTTGGCTTGAAAGGAATCAAAGGTTATTCAAAGGGAAGTGCTGTTCCTTGTTGGAATGTTTTAGTCTTGTAAGGTTTAAAGTTTCTCATGAGTGTTCTCTTTCGGATTTATTAGTCAACTATTCATCTAGTATGATATGTTCCAAGTTTGGGAGGCATTTATAACTCCCCTTTAGCTCTATTGCTTTACTTTATTTCTATTCACCACTTTCAGAGTTTGTATCTTTAAAAACAAGAAACTATTTCGTTAAATTAATGAAATGAGAAAATATACAAAGGGGGTGATATCCCAAACCAAAGGAGCTACAAAAAGGCTTTCCAATTGGTTAAAAGAGAGACAAAACTATAGTGATGAAAGATGAGGAGCATTTGCACCAAGAAACAACTAATGACACTATAGATTCAAATATGTTGTTGGTAGATCACTCTTTTCCTTGGAAGATCCGATAGTTCCTCTCAAGCCAAATTGACCACATCATTGCCCTAACGAAGTGCATCCAAAGTTTGTAGAAGTTCATTCAATAAATCTGCACATCACTATTGAGTAGTAAATGCTACCTTGATATTTATTCATGATTGCAGGATGCATATAAATATTCAGTCTGCTCTTATTGAGGTTATATTTCTAACACCCTGCCTTTTAGAAGAGATTGTAAAAGACTGGGTGTTGTGTTTTCATAATACAGCAAGGCCTCATTCGGACTTGGATGGATGAATGTGTTTGAAGTCTCTGGTTATGATTTATTTTTTAAAATTACTGTTATGATATGCTTTGAAGAAAAGTTAGTAGTCGTGGCTATTTTACTTTATATAAAAGCTTTGTGAAAAACTATTTAGCGGGAATAAACCACGGTCACTTGTTGATCATTAATTGGCCGATATGAAGATCATGATTTTTAATTTATCCAGTCAGCAGTGACAAACTTCATTATTACGTATCGCAGGGTAGACAATAATTCAAAGGACTTTTGCTCTTGCGTGGAAATAGACAAACAGAATGGTGAAACTTCCATTGATATGGTTTGTTCTTTCTTTCTTTCTTCCGTTGTTATAGTTCTTCATCATCTTTCTTTAACATTTTCATTCATTTATTTTTTTTTGGGTTTTCCATTCTATCTTCCGATTCACAACTTTGATCTTTCCTGCCCTATTGTTGGTTAGATTTACTGTGCAAGACAAAGTTTAATGGAAATGGTAATGTTATTTTATCTTGGGCAATCATGTTGGCCATCTATTCAAGATTTAAAATTCTATGATTTTTTTTGGCAATCAAATCGCTTTTTGGTTATTAAAGATTGGAT